AAAAAAGGAGTTTGTCATGTTTTTCATAATTAGAACAACGCGATGTAGATTTGTTAAGCTGTTTATTCGTTTTCATTATCGATATCTTCGAGGCAGTAATTCTTTTATATAATTTTTGAAATTGATTAAACAAACAAATTTATAAAATAAAAGAAAGACAAAAAGTACTAGAACGTGTCAACATAGTAAAGTAGGATAAAATTGCCTTAATGGTTTATTTAGACAAATACACTGTAATGCTCAAACAAACAATCTACATGATGTAGTTGGTTCCTTACAGGATTGAAGCATACACGGACAACATTGTTATCCATATGGTAGAAGAGGAGGGACATGATTTTTTACAAGAGCGGCGGTATTAGAAATCTTTAGAGAAAAAGGACTAAGAATCTACTCAAAGAAAATACAGTACAGAATGAATGAATGAAGTTAAACTACTAGGCGTCACAATAGATGGAGAAAGCAAGAAACTATTAGAAATTACTAGAAGCGAAGCGTTAGAATATAGAAGATTAGAAAACGTCAAATAATTGAGAAGATTCCTCAAATTGGCCAGATGGTTTAGAGCATTTATTAAAGATTTTTCAAGAATATGACAGCACTTACGGAATACCTGAAAACAAGCAAGAAATAGGAATTGAGGGCAGATATGTAAGGCGGATTTTGAGCATAAAAAATTTAGAAATATTAAAGCATTAAAAATACCAAATTATAAAAGGAAGTTTCGACTAACTTTTTATAGAAATCTTTTTTTTTATTTTTACTCTTTTCTTCATGGAATTTTTGTATTATGACGGATCTTTGCTTCATTTTTGTAACCCTCTAAAAATGCTTGATCAAACTTCAGATTTGGAAAAGGAATATTAGAAGTAGATTTAACAAACATTCGAGTATATAAAAGAACCAGGTTAAACAAATTAGATTCATATTTGTCAGATCTGAAAGACTTAAAAATTTACAAAGAAATCACCTATTTTTCCAGATTTATCTGATAAACATTTAATCGATCGCTATAATACTTATACAAACATGGGCTTAAAAATTACTTTTTAAAATAGCCTGACATGTTATCCCCGGTGAAAATCTTTCTCTTGACGAATCAATTTGTACATTTATACGAAGAACATTGAGTAAAGTTTTTTCAAATGAAAAACCTAATAAATGGGGTTAAGTTTTATTCAATATGTGACTCTGAAACGTCATATTTGCTTGATT